GGGGGGGTAGAGCTGACATTAATTTGCTCTTGATCAACCAGTGCAAAGTATAAAAAGATATAACAATTTGAACTATTAATGAAAACAGGGCGAGTCGCAAAAGGAAATGGGTCGACCATTAATAGTAATTGTGTACGAGTAGTTTTAGAATTTCAAGGTACAGTCTTTTAAACTTTTTAGTGAGTTTTTTTTTTATTTTTCATTTTTATTTCGAGCATGAGTTGATGTAGGTTGGCGGAGCAGTCACAACTAGAGATCTTGTAGACGACAGGAAGCTGATCGGGTCGTGTTTATCTTCACATAAAAAGAAAAGAGAATTTCGAACCACAGCGAAACATCCACCGAAGTTCACGAATTGGCTCTATTATGTAGCCTGAAAAATTATGATGAGAAACTTACCAAGCTCAAGGTATTGTGGATCAATGGAGATTTTCAAAACAATAGGAGATGGATTTGCATAATAGCGTCGCTTAATTTGAGCGAACCGTTCATCACCGTTGCCTTTTTCAACGAACAAACACTTTCCACTTTTCCCTATCCTGGGCTAGCCTTTTGATATTCTATGTCTTCCCATTTCCTGTACATCAATTTCTGTGACTCTTCTCCAGGTTCTACGTGGTCTTCCCCTTGATCTTTGCCCCTGTGGGTTCCAATTCAAAACGCTCCTTGTTAGGTAGCTGCCTGACTTCGTGAGAGTGTGTCCAATCCATCTCCGCCTTTTTCCAACCTCATCTCTGACTGGGCTCTGTCTTGTTCTCCTTAACACTTCGAGCGAAACGTTGAAAGGACAGTGTTTTTCTTTTTCCTTAATGAAAAAAAAAGAATGTGTGCAGCGTACTCTAGTTCGTTTTTTGTATTTGCACTGTACCTCTCGTAATTAGCTAGTGGTTACTGAGTGGAATTGGCAGGAAAAAACAACAAGTAGAACAACACTGAAGCTGAGACTGGTTTCGTTGTATTCAAAGTGGAACAAGGACATTTTTAAAGCTTGGTACTTGTATCTCGGAAACATCACAAGGCAGTCACTTCAGTGGAACCCACAGGGAGCACGAGGCAGGGGTAGGCCACGGGAAACATGGAGGAGATGCGTGGAAAGGGACATGAGAGAGATGAAGCTCACTTGGAACGAGCTTGGAGGAAGGATGGCTCAGGACAGAGATAAATGGAAGGAGCTTGTATGTGGCCTATACCCTGCCAGGGGTGAAAGGCATTGATGATGATGATGACTTGTATCTCTATAACTTTTTTGCCCTGTTTATGATGCCCCAAGGGAAACAGCAGCGCCCAAGCAAAATTGCTCGAAAAACAGCAGCGCCCAAGCAAAATTGCTGGAAAATATGGACAAAGTTGAAAAATCAGTTTGCACCTGGAAGTTCTGAAGAGAATGTTGTTGTTCCTGGCGGTGGTACTACCAAAGATACTACTCCCTACGGTAGGCTGTACTATCTTAGGTATTACTGCTGCTTCTGTTGCTGCTTCTCTTTTCCCGCAACTGCTTCTTCTATTGCTCTGGTTTTGTGTGTTTGTTTCCCTTTTTTTTAAACCACTGCAGATGGCGATGATGATGCTTCTGCTGTTTCTTTTTAGTGTTTTACGGCGCTCGCAACTGCATAAGGTCATATGATCGCGGGTGAAACATTAAACATTATCAGTTGGTAGGAAATTTTGAATTTTGTTTGCGTGGCGACCGAAGCCTACTCTTATTGATTTTAGACCACCAAGGGATCTTTAACGCGCGCATCTAGCACACGGGACCGCCGAGATTTTTTGCCCTTGTCCGAGAAGGCAAGGTGTATATCTTTCCTACCAGAAGATTCGGGGTGTGTCTGAAAGACCGAAGTAAGAAGGAGCCAAGGAGTAGCAGTAGAAAGGCTGCAGAAAGAGTCAGGAGCCTAGAGGGGGCAAAGTAGGTGAGGGGGTGGGGGCAGAAAGTGGAGAAGAACGCAGACGACAGAACATTGCGAGACAGCAGGTAAGGAGGTGAAAGGAGACAATTTTAGAACCTGGGACCTTTGAATGAGGGGCAAACACCTTAACCTCTAGGCCACGAGAGCTCCCTGCTGTTTCTGCTGTTACTGCTGCTGCCGATGCTGATGCTGATGCTGATGCTGATGCTGATGCTGATGCTGATGATGATGATGATGATGATGATGATGATGATGATGATGATGATGATGATGATACTGTTTTAAGAGTTTTAAGAGCATAATTTCTCTAATCTCAGACTCAAAAAGCTATAAAGTAAACAGGCCTATCAAAAGAAAATAGAGGGGTTTTCCACCCTTCTTGGCTGGGGGTTAACAATGCTATACGGGTACAAAGATTGAAAGCAAAACTAGAACTTTGAGAGACGAATTTCTTAACCCCGAGAAAGAAAATTTCAATTGTTGTTTTCTTTTAGTGGCCTACAAAGAATTACTCTGGGCTGTTTAAAGATCCAGATCGAGGCACGTCGTTGGTTGATAAAATATTATGTAAAAGCTGAACACAAACCATGACTATAAGTATTATCGTCCAGTGCAATTCACAAAAATGTCGCAATGTTGCTAACTACTGGCACATGACAATGACGCGTAACATAATGTAACAGTAATGTAATTAAGGTCTTGCACAATATTCAATATGCCTACAGCACCAAACACTCTGGCTATAAAGGAAGAGGAAGGCCACGCAAAAGGTGGATCGAGGGTGTCAAGGAAACCCTAAGAAAACATA